CAGTCAAACAAAAATGGAAACTTTGTAATTTATGGATAGCCTTAAAAAGGCAAAGAAATGAAGGATTATTGCAGTTGGTGCAGTCGCTGATACAATTAATATAAGATGCATATAAATCCTATTACAGATCTGTCATGGGTGAAAAAGGAATATGAAAAATGCGTGACCTATCTTTATTAGATTCAGTTAGAGAGAGACCATACGGAGCGAAGGAGCTTTCCGAACTGCATATTAATCATAACCAGTCTTCTGAGATAAACCTATTTCTTGTAACTTATCAAAGCTGTACAGTAGATTAGTCATTCCCTTTGGTAAAGGAATGTTTTACATATTGTTCTGAGTTTTGAACAGTGCAGCTTTAAAAACTGATTAACAGATATTTTAATACTAAAATATATCTCATTGAATTATATAGCTTAGGCACTTATTATCCTGTAATGCCATCCCAATAGGAAGATGGGCTCTGTCAAAACCTCTACATCATTGTTTTGTTGTGTATTGAATAAGACACTCTAGGGAGTTGTATTAGAGACCAGACAAAAGAACTATCTTGCAGCAAGCAATCATTAAATCATGCAGAAATGTTTCTTTCTTAAATCTTTAAGTAACAATTGGTAGATGCCAGCACCATTTTTTTTAATGTCACTTTCAATTCCTGAAGTCTTTTATCTCTTTTTGAAAAGGAGGAGAATTAGCTCAAGGGGCCGGTTAAGACCATCATGCTAATGTACAGCATTACTAAAGATAGGGGATGTATAACAGCTATAATCTGACAAAGACAATTAAGATCCTATTTTAAAAACATGTGAGAAGGTTTCACAAAATATGACAATTTTAGATAAAACATGAAGAGTAATAGGTATAAAATGTATTTTGTATCGTTGGTTAATAAAACCTAGAGATGGTGAGTGATTTAAGCGTTTAGTTTCCAACCTCCTGTTGCCACTTGAGTGCCTACAATATATTAGGTCCCGTCAATAAAACATAGCACTATAGCGTGGTGAAGATATTATATGTATATAATTTTATTCCTTTGTTTTTATATTTCTAAAATAATAGGATTTCAAAAAGTTAAAGAAATATAAAAGTATATACATTAAAAATAAAACCTCTCATTCTTCCCATCCTACAATCTAGGGGCAACTACTATTAATAATTTGGTATATGATCCTTTTAAATATATTTTAAAAACTCATTTATTGAAGGAATACACAGAAAAAATGCACAAATCATAAGCATATAACTCAGATGAATTGTCTCAAAGTGAATTAGAACATTACCGGTTCCCCCCAATTCCTGTTGCCTCCCCCCTCACCAGAGAGAACCACTTATTTGACTGGGAGTGACAGACAGGAGTGTAGATGCTCCTAAGTTTACATTTTGACCCATGCTTCTCAACTACTTTCTCTTCTTATATCTCCAGATACCTAGAAGGTATCACTATTTTACCTCATTTTCTCAAATTTAAATATCTAAAATGAAACTCAAAATATTCACCTTTATTCTCTCTTCTTTTTATTTTCCCCAAAGTCCCAATCTTCCTCTTACTCATTTAGCAAAGATAGATAGTAGGAAGAAGTGTTTCATCAAACATTGTTAAGTAGCAAGGAACAGAATCATTTCTCTTGTGGAGAATATGAAAGGGAGGGGAAGGAATGGCACATTTCATAAAACTCTTATTAGGAAAGAAATTTGTAGCTGTATTCAAAATAATATGAAGTATTGTTGATTTTAATATTTGTTCTCTAAATATAAATCATTTTACAGGCATAATTTGGGATGGTTTGGGATGTTCATTTAGGAAAATAGTACAAAAGTAGTGCTTCATCATTCTAGTTGAAAAATGAGCATAGTTCAGTTCTTTCTAGTATTCCAAAAATAAAGTTATAAATATATGCTAAAATTTAAAAATAATTTATTCAGCATAAATAAGTGATAACTATCATTTTGAAAAAGGAATTGCTTCTGGGTAGTAAGAAAAAGCATGTCTTCCCAGTGAGGCACTAATATCCCCTGGTTCTAAATGGAGTTAGTTTCAAACTTTTGAGGAAAGCATATAATTTATCAGAATGTCATTTCCAAATGTGGGAGCCCTCAATCTCATAGAGAATGAGGAGAATCACTGAGATTCCTTAATGGCTCTGACATACCGCCAAGATGTATGGTAACACTGAGGCAAATTCCATGATGATAACCCTGGCAACCTATTAGAGTTTACTATAGGTAAGATGACATATATTTGGGTACCAAGTGTGTTCCAGGCATTGTTGTAGCAGCTTATGAGTAAATGATAGTGACCACAGAGGGAAAAAATGCACATGTATATACATATTTATGTATGTATACACACATATAGATAAGTAGGTAGGTAGATAATATCCCTGGTGTAAATGCTCTGGTGGAAAACACTGAAAAGAGAGTAGGATAGACAGTATCAGAGGTGAGGTCAGGATAGGCCTTGAAGTGATATTCCAGCAAAGATAGAAACAAGGTAAGGGAGTGAGCCAATAATCACCTGGCTTGGTGTTTATTTAATAGGTTTTTATTCAGTTCTTGCTTCATTCTTAAAAGGATTCATTCGGTGCCTAGACTATTTAGTAGATCAAAACTAAAGAAAAACATGATGCATTGACTTTTTCTGCCTTTGATAACATAAGGAAACCATGCAGGGAAAACTTAGTCCACTCTGGGGAAGTTCTGCCTGGCTTTTGTTTTACTGTCAGTTCCCTCCTTGGGGTTCCATGCTGCCTGCAGTCACTCAGGGTCGAGTATTTCACTGTAATGTTTCCACACTGAATGAAATTGAATTTGATTAAAAATATCCCATCATAGCCCTGGCTGGTGTGGCTGTTGGTTGGAGCATTGTCCTATGCACTGAAGGGTCACAGGTTCAATTCCTGATTAGGGCACATATCTGGGTTGTGGGTTCTATCACCAATGGGGGCATGTGCAGGAGGCAACCAATTGATGTTTCTCTCTCACATGATATTTCTCTCTTTGACAAAAATTCTTCTAATGTTATTATCTTTCAAGTGGAATAATGGTGGGTATTTCTGGCTAGGTAAATGTGAAGGCAGATAAGACTTTAGAGTGGTCCTCAAATCACACAGTAGAGGAAATTACCCATGCCAATTATGTGGCATCTGCCCAGGGGGCAGACTTTCCCCATTAATTCACCATCACTATCATTGGGAAACCTGGAAAACCTAGGGCACTCTTTGTTAGCTATGTTACTGCTACATATCATTGGAATAAATGCAAGTGTAGTCTTATAGGATGTTAGGTGATTATTCCACACAGACACCTAATACATGGTTGTATCATGAATTTCTCCCTCAGTGTTTAGAATTCTGTAATCCGCTGGGGGATTTTTTTTTGCTTTTATGTAATTTTAAAGATAAATATTTAGTTTTTCAATATATCAATGTATCATTGATACTCAAGTGAGAACACACAGGTTTTGTAATTTGAAAAACTAGAGATTAGAAATTACATTTTATAGGTTCTAACTACATATGGTCCAGTGAACTTTTGCTTAGTTTCCTGGCATCCGGTGTCTGTTAACCTGGACCATGCTACTTTAACAGTAAACACGTTTGTATGTTTGGTCAGCTGGTTGTACATGTTTTACTCTGGCCCCAAGGAAGGAAAGGTATAGATATCCTGGACTCATTGGTGAAGGAACCAGGTCAATAAAAATGCAGGTGCGCCAGTGGCCAACGTTAAGTAGGGCAGGGAATATAGGTAAATGATGTCATTGGTACATGCACGTAGGTTTCAGTGTTGAAGAGGAATCATTAATAGTCTAGGAAATTGAGAAACAGAGTCCAGGACCCAGGAACAGGGTCTGGGCTAAGGAAAAATCCTCAATAGAGGACAGAGATGCTAGGCAGCAGAAAATAGGAGCCAGGAATTAATAAAACTTGATATGGAACTAAAAATGTTATAGACCAGGGGCTTTCCTGTTGAAAAGCATATTCGTGCAGAAAGGACACTGATCTGTGAAGCTCTGATTGAGGAAGAGAGTGCTCTTATATCTACTCTCTACCAAAGATGAGACTCGGTGCCGTACAAAAATAGCAATAAAATCTGTGGATCTTAAAATATATGTGAGCCCTTTTGAGGTCCATTTTTCATATTAATTAAAAATAACAAATTAAGCCCAGAGTTAGTAGAAGGAAGGAAATAAAGATCAGAGTGAAAATAAATGACATAGAGACTAAAAAAACCAATATAAATGATCTACGAAATCAAGAACTGGTTCTTTGAAAAGATAAACAGGATTGATGAACATTTAGCCAGTCTCATCAAGAAACAAAGAGAGAGAACCCAAATAAATAAAATCAGAAATGAAAGTGTTGAAGTAACAACTGACACCACAGAAATACAAATGAATGTAAGAAAATACTATGAACAACTATATACCAACGAGCTGGACAATGTGGAAAAAATGGACAAATTCCTAGAAAAATACAACCTCCTAAAACCAAATCAGGAAGAATCAGAAAACCTGAATAGGCCAATAACAACTGATGAAATAGAAGCAGTAATCAAAAACCTCCCAGCAAATAAAAGCATTGGTCTGGATGGTTTCACAGGGAGTTTTACTAAGCCTTCAAAGAACAACCAACACCTATTCTCCTCAGACTATTCCAGAAATCCAAGAGGAAGGAACACTTCCAAGCTCTTTCCATGAAGCCACCATTATCCTAATTCCAAAACCAAATAAGGACACTACAAATAAAGAGAATCATAGGCCAATATTCCTGATGAACATAGATGCTAAAATCCTCAACAAAATATTAGCAAATCGGATCCAACAATATATTAAAAAGATCAGACACCAGGACCAAGTGGGATTCATTCCAGGGATGCTAGGCTGGTACAATATTTGCAAATCAATAACTGTGATACAGCACATAAACAAAAATGAAAGACATAAATCACATGATCATATCAATAGATGTAGAAAAAAGTGTTAATTCAAGTCCTTCTTTTTGGGTCTCTACACTTTTCAGGACAAGCTGTCATGCCCCCACCTCACATTCCTCCCAAAACATTCTAAAGTCCCCAAGAAGCATTCACTAAGCTCCTGGGAGAATATACAACTCCACATGCATTTTGAAAGGTCTAGAGCCCCTACCAAAAATGCTCACAGATGCATACTTTGGCATCTGAACCCAGAGCGGGGGGATCCAACTCACTTATTGCACATCAGCAGCACTTCAAGCTCCTTGACGTTATGGACCAGGAACTTCCGAAAGCCACTGGGCAGCATGTGCTTTGTTTTCTTGTTGCTCCCATAACCAATGTTGGGCATCAAAATCTGGCCCTTGAATCTTCTACGCACCCTATTGTCAATGCCTCTGGGTTTCCGCCAGTTCCGCTTAATTTTGACATATCGGTCTGACTGGTGCCGGATGAACTTCTTGGTCCTCTTTTTGACAATCTTGGGTTTCACGAGGGGTCTGAGGGCGGCCATGGTGCCGGCTAGGAGATGGCTGCCACCTCCGTAGGCAGCGCCGAGGAAGAGAGGGGCCAACACCCATTTTCAATAAAAGCTCTCAGCAAAGTGTAGAAGGATCATATCTCAACATAATAAAGGCCATATATGACAAACCTATAGCCAATATCATGCTCAATGGGCAAAAACTAAAACCATTTACCCTAAGAACAGGAACAAGATTGGGTTGTCTGCTTTCACCACTTTTATTCAAAAACAAAATCCCATTTACCATTGTAACAGAAAGTTAAGATACTTAGAAATAAACTTAACAAGGAGGTAAAAGACCTGTACTCAAAAACCTACAGAACATTGAAAAAAAAAGATAGATGAAGAAATAAAAAAGTGGAAGAATATGCAGTCTTCATAGATTGGTAGAATTAACTTAATTAAAATGTCCACACTACCTGAAGCAATCTATAGATTCAATGCAATCCCTATCAAAATACCGACAGCATATTTCAAAGATGTAGAACAGTACTTCAAAAATTTATATGGAACCAAAAAAAGACCCCGAATAGCTGCAGCAATCTTGAGAAAGAAGAACAAAGTTGGAGGGCTCATAATACCAGATATCAAGTTATAATACAAATCCGCTGTAATCAAAACAGTCTGGTACTGGCACAAGAACAGGCATATAGATCAATGGAACAGAGCAGAGACCTCAGAAATCTACCCAAGCCATTATGTTCAATTAATATTTGACAAAGGAGGCAAGAGCATAAATGGAATAAAGACAGTCTCTTTAAAAACTGGTGTTGGGATAATTGGACAGGTACATGAAAAAAAACAAAATGAAAGAAAAACTAGGCCACCAACTTATACCATACACAAGAATAAACTCAGAATGGATAAAATACTTAATGCAAGTCATGAAACCATAAAACCCTAGAAGAAAACAGGCCCCAAAATATCAGACATCTCATAGAGCAGAATTTTCATTGATAAAATACCTATCAAGAGAAACAAAGGAAAAAATAAAACAAATGGGACTACATCAAAATAAAAAGCTTCTGCACAGCAAAAGAAACCAGCATCAAAATGAAGGGAACCCACTGTATGGGAGGACATATTTACCAATGATACATCTGGTAAGGGATTAATTTACAAAATATTTGAACTATTCATACAACACAACAAAAGGAAGACAACCCAATAAAAAATGGGCAGAGGACCTGAATAGACACTTCTCCAAAGAGGACATACAAATAGCCAAGAGACATGAAAAAATGCTCAGCATCACTAATTATCAGAGAAGATGCAAATTAAAATGACAATGAGGTACCACCTCACACCTGCTAGAATGGCTACCACCAATAAATCGAGAAACAACACGTGCTGGCGAGGATGTGGAAAAAAGGGAGCCCTAGTACACTGTTGGTGGGAATGCAGGCTGGTACAACTACTACAAAAACAGTGTGGAGTTTCCTCAAAAAAAGAAATGGAACTGCCATTTGACCCAGTGACCCCACTTCTAGGAATATATACTAAGAAGCCTGAAACAACAATCAGAAAGAATATATGCACCCCTATGTTCATAGCAGCATTAATTACAATTGCTAAGATTTGGAAACATCCCAAGTGCCCATCAGTAGATGAGTGGATAAAAACAAGTGCCCACAGTAGATGAGTGGATAAAAAAGCTGTGGTATGTTTACACCATGGAATACTATGCAGCTGTAAAAAAGAGGTACCTATTACCCTTTGATACAGCATATAGGGACCTGGAGAGTATTAATGCTAAATGAAATACTAGGTGTACCAGTTGATAATGGTGGATTTTGTAATCAAAGAAAACACGATTATTTCAAGAGAAACATCCAAAGTGCTTTATTCAAAGTAATGTCCATCGCTAGCTAC